AAAGCAAAACTTTATTCCTGTTCTTTACTGTTCAATGTATGGCTTACTAAACTTGACTCTTCCTATCTGGTTATTGTCTCCCAAAATATTTATTCCCTTTATGTATATTCACTCCTCTCCGTCCTATGCCAAAGACGCCGCAGTCCCAGCCGCCCTCCCCAGTCAAGCAGCCAGCCAATGCCCCTGCCCCTGACAAATTAGACAAGATGTCTGAAATCACTCTCAGAAAGAAGAACGCTGACGCTCAGGCTGCTTTCCGTGCACGCCGTGCCAACTATATTGCCACCCTCGAAGAGACAGGTCCGTCTGCTGCTAAGTACCTAAATATTCATGTTCCAACAACTAAGTGTCCGTAAATCGCAGTAACCAGCTTAGAGGCAGTTGTAGTCCAGCTTCAGGACTCGTGTCGCGAGGCTCGCGCTGAAGCCTCAGAATTGCGTCAGGAAAACCACTACAGTGTCTAGTCTGTAGATTATGTAGTATATACAAAAATATATTACTTTTGTACTTAGATACAAAGAATAATACTCTAACTCATCTCTTAAATTTTTTTTCTCTCAGGTCCGGTTATGGACCGGTCCAGAACCAGACTGGAACTTGGGTCCAGTCCACTACCCGTCCACATAGGTCCGGTCCCCAGTCCGGGACACTCCCGGACTGCAGATTTGGTCCGGTCCTGAGTCCAGGTGAAGTATGCCCGGACTGGACCAGGACCGGACTTCAGCAACTATAGCTACTACATGTTTTATATACTCAAACAATAAAATGTAAACTGGCTAATCCTTGAATGTGTGTTATATTGACTCCTTTCCAGATATATTTCGCAGTTGTTGGTGTAAAGGAAACAATACGTCGACATGAAGCCACAGTAATTTAGTCCTGTCATTTCTTTTTAGGAGACTGAGGCTTACTAAGCCACTAAAGATACCAATGTCATCGGTCTACTACAGAGTTGTTGTTTGTTTAATAACTTACGTCGGACCTCAACACTTCACTCGCAGTCCACCTGTGTTTGCACCTGAGAGTCAGCAGTCCTCTTGCTACCGATTTCGCTTACCAGTAACCAAGCATTATCAGTAAAGTATATATTCATACTAGTGAAGTAACAATGACTTACCCTCAGGATACTTTTTCCATATGTCAGTGTTCCAATTTCTGGGATCATCGAGTTTGTCAAAATCATCTGCAAACTCGTCTTGACTCGGAATTCTATATAATTTGGCAATGACAGCATATCAGCCCCAATAATACAAATCGTCACAAATTTTTTTTACTGGTATGCGAAGTACTCAAACGATGACCAGCCATGATACAATTCCCAAAGTATCACTCTGTATTATGTATTGAATATATCAGTTGACCAAATTTTCGAGCCGTATCAAGCATACCCGAGTGCCCAGAGATCTGAGCGACAACATATTAGCCCACGGCGAGTGCGCTCTGGCGAAAGGTAACCAGTGGTGGCATGCTTATTATCGGTCCTGGCGTGCGTGTGTCCCTCCGGCAACCATTTAGCCCTGCGTAGATAAAGGAAGTGTAAATGGTCTTGCAGTGTCAAATGTTGAGATGCGGGATATACATACGTTGCAAAATCTGAAATCAAGATTTTCGGTGGGTTAAGATTTTTTATCAAGATATTTCCTGGCCTAAGATATTCTCAGTACATTCTCAACTCTTCCCGGTCGAGTATACCTACTTGATATCGGCATGCACACAGTGACGTTCACCGTGTTTGCTATGAATATATTCTAATCCCTTGCACACTTGGCTTCAAGGGTTCGTCAGTAAGTATTTCATTCTATATTCTCCATCCTATACACACTTTATGATGGCTTTTGCATACACCTCGGAACCACTTCCTTGCATCAAGGCTCGCAAATCGCCGTCCTTGGCGTATTCCATCACAATACAACAATATTCGCTATTATTGTACACGTAACTAAAAGAGTCAATAAGTTCGACCTGGTTTTAATTATTCCGTTAGTCCCATATCTAGTACTCTTTTTGACATTCCCGAAGGAATAATACACACGATTTTCTTATGGCTTCCCAGTTTTCTCAAGTTTCCGAGTTCAGATAGCTGTGTGGTTTTAATTTCTCCTGTTCCCTTCTCGAGCATCACTTTGATCGCCACGGCTTTCCCATTATTATCTTGGCACAGCTACATATACAAAATAGATGTGAAACAACAGTAATTTCACAAAGCATGTATGAGAAGAAAGATGATGAGCTCAGCACCTTGGATACTTTCAATTTTGTAGAGTGACTCACAGCAACAACTCCAGTGTTACCCTCACCTAAGAACTGTTCTGACGTCAACGTATAACCATTGACAGTGTTGCCCCTCTTCAAAAGATGCTGCTCAGGTGCTGTACCTGATGGTTGAGTCTGACTTGTAGAGGGTTCATTATTTGTATTCGCACCCTGCTGAGAATGCTTATGACCATGATGGACAGATCCGGAACGTGGCGTTTGTCGACCGTTTCTGGACATTTTTATTATGGTATAAGTCTGACGATTGTATATAAAAAAGGTACTACTATGTCACAGAAAGCTGCTAGAGAACGTGAGGAATAGGGAGACAAGCTCAATCTTCTGTGATATCTGTATGATTTGTAGAATGTTAGAATGCAAATTCTGCAATTCAGCGCCACTGAGCAAACCAGGTTCACCGTAGCAACTAACAGGTATCGATGCCTCAGTGGTCCTGGGGTCCTACTTTGCGGGTGCTTGAAGGGTCATGATCTTAAAATACAAACAACTTTTGATGGGTTTCTAGTTATGGATTTCACCTCAAATATTACTGGCCATCTCTGACTGAATATAACTTGTAAAGTGGCTCAAATGCATGTACCCTATTAAGGCTGTCATGGTGTCATTGGGAAAGTTCTACAGAGCAATTGTATGCAGGAAAGGAATGGTTGAACATTGTTTTCCTTATCTATGTTACAGATCTTTTTATACATTGCTAAATAAAGGATCAAAGACAAGGCTATACTCAATACTAGAGCAATCCATAGTTGAAATTTATTGTTTTATTGTATCAGCTAACAAATTTATTAGGTTTATCAAGCAGATACAGAGAGTACTATTTAAAACATAGTTAACTGTTTCTATCTGGCACATTTAATCAAGTGGATCTATAAGTTTATACTTTATATTTATTTACAGCAAAGTAGTCACAGTCTGTCAGACAGTAAAACTACTTTTAATGTAGAAAAACATAATAAATAACTATAAATGCTATACTATTCCTCTGCTAGACACTAGGCAATATTGTTATAAGAAGGAATTTATACACTAAACATTTAGCTAAGGAATGTTAGTACAGCTGCTACTTTTTAGCACTTGATTTAAGCTACTATATAGATAAAATGTGAACAATTATTGTTATAGTGCTTCTGATAAACCTACATCAGAGTTCAGTACATCAGTTACAGTCCACCTATCTCTAGGATAAATAGTCAGCAGTCCTCTTGCTACAAGTTCCACTTAACAGTAATTATTAGTAAAGTATATAACAATATTAGTAAAGACAAGAATAGCTTGCCTTCAGGATGGCTTCTCCAAATTTTCCAGGTCTCATCCATTTTGAGTCTGTCAAACTCATCCACAAATGTCTTACTTTTGTAATCCCTTTATATTTCATTAAAAGGAATGAGTTAGTGTTAAATTTTCACATACAATACAGTAAGGAGAAGTATGATTTACATATATAGAGTATAAAAATATGATCCCTAACTATAATATAAATCCTAAAGTACTACACTGTACTGTGTTTAGTTATATTAGCAAGGTGAATTTCTAAGAACCAAGTACACTAGGTACTACCAAACATACCTGACTGTCTAGAGATCCAAGGGACAATACAGTATTTTTCTACAGATCTGTTCAGATACATAGTAATAAGCTAAGTGTTAACATGTATTACAATCAATGATACAATTACAGACGCTACAGTAATGATAAGATGATTAATATGCATATAAACGGAACAGACACAGAACAATGAGACATGTATTGGATACACGATACAAGACATGTATCGGATACACAATAAGTATCAGATACAAGATAATGATACATTGGATGTCTAAGACATACAGACGAATGAATAACATAAAAGCGAGCAACTTAGTAACTAAAT